CTTTTGTCTGACCAGATCCACCTACTGCCCCCTTCCAACTCTAATTCTGTCTTTCAACCTCACACAATAGTATCATGCTCCCCAAACCAGGCTCATTTCTGAACAAAAGATTTGCAAAGTTCAAAGTATGACCATTTTGAAAATCTCTGCCCATCAGTTTCCTCCTTTACCTTAAATCTCAACATTGCTTTCATCTTCATCATTAATTATTTTAAGTCCCAATTTTCCCAAAAGATCTTTACAGCTGAAGTCCTAAGGAACTCCCAGGACAATCACAAATGGATTCCAATAATGAATCAGGTTACAGGGGAATCCTAACCACTCTTCCACTGACACAAGAACTCTTATTGTCACATTCACTGTACAGAAACACCAGGACAATGAGCAGCCTTCTCTGCAAAGGCCATTAGGTAGATATACAAGGAACTGTACCATCAAAAGGGCTCCTAAATTTCCCTCCATTCCCAATCCTGTTTTTTGTGAACATTCAAATTATCATTTATCTGTATTATGTATCAGGCTATATGCATATCCATGGATTCAAATGTAAAAAAAAAAAAAAAAGACTTTTTCTCGGTGTCCCCCTAGTATTATGGAAAGGCTTAGTAGTATTATTGTCACCTCCAACCTCCTGCAGTTTTCAAGACATTGGGTAACAAATTTACAGAATACGGTTGCACTGCCGTCCGTCCTCATGTCCACTACCACGAACCAGGGGTCAAACCTAGCTCCATCCCAACTTCTGGGATTTCCTAACACTTTCATGGAAAGGGTCAAAATGCTACTGTTTTCTAACAGGAGTATTCACAGTAGAAATGTGAAATTACTGGTGATAGATGTTATATGAACAGGTTATAAAGACAACTCTGTACATTTATTTCATAGTTAGAAAACTTTCTTGAAGTTTTATTGCTTCTTTACTTCTGTATTTTTATATTAGCATGAAAACAAAATTATATTCTTCCATTTCGTTTCTCTCATTTAGGTTTGCATTATCTATTGACAGGTTTGTGGGGTTTTTAAAACTGTGCCTAACAGAAAATCTACTTATAATGAATGGGCTTTCGAAAAATGGCATCTGACTGAATTACTGAGAAGGAAATCACCCCTTGCTTATTTTCTATATGATGATTTCTTCATAACCAATCTTACTGGTTATATAGCTTTCAGGCTGAGTTCTCAAGGATCATCTACAGATAAATGATAATCATTGGTTTTAATTGCATCTAAAATATGTTATCTTGTCACAAGACACTCTTGTTTTGGAGGTTGTTACAACCTCAACCCCAGACTATTAAATGATGTTAACATGCAATTCCTAAATAGCTCCTATTTCCCTTTACTAAAATAAAAACTTAAGACAGGTAGATTAAAAACAGAATTTAACTTATATTCCATCACAGACTAAAAACACTCAGATTTTCCATTTCTTAAGGGTTTTCTCTCAATGTGGTAATTTATCATAGAAAAAAAGGAAAAAATATATAAACAAAATGTGGTAAGTTCACATTTTTGATAGATGATGCTAAAAATGTTTTAAAATGTATACCATAGGACAATTATTATTTATAACATGAAAAGATGAAATCACAATTTTATACTGCCTTACAATCCATGAATATCTAACTTGTACAGACTTCTCATTTTGGAAGTTGGGAAATACTTCCAATTGGGCTGTAATTTAAAAAAAGCACAACAAAAATAATTTTGTAAGACAGGAAAGTCTCCCTGTTTGATTATGTGCCAGGTTATACTGGTAGTATGACAGTGATTTCTGGGGGCTTCGTTCATATGAAAAAAATGACAAACTGTTATGTTTTCAGTTCTGGGGCTTCAAAATATCAATGCTTTTTTATCCTCTAGATTTCCTTCAGGCTTAGAAAGCACAGGGGGGAAAACACACACACACACACACACACACACACACACACACACACACACGGCACATGCAGGCCAAGAAGTCCTTCTCTGTCAATATGCCTCCAAATTCTGAATTTGCTCCCTTCTGGTGAATACTTCTAACATCCTCAAAATGAAGTCACAGCTTCCTAGGCCCAACACCTCAGACCTCCTCAATCAGATTCTGGGGTTTAATCCCGGCATTTACATTACTTTAACAAGAATTTAAGTTACCCTGAAATACCCCAACCCTACAAGCACATGAGGACAAATAAAGTTGGATAGTCATCAAGTAACTACTTGCCCTATCACTTCACTTTTGTTTGTTTGTTATGGTAAAATATAAATCACTACTTCCTAGTAGTTTCACTTCTACCTGCCTAACAGGACATAATAATTACTGTTAAAACAATCTTGAGTGTTGGTCTAGCACATCTCTCTTCCCACAAAAAAAAGTCACCAAAGATCCAAAGCCAGAATGGATATCCAGTCTTTGGCATAAGAGTCAGTAGTTCCTCCCAAGGGCAAGACCTGAGCCAAATGGGAATGCCTGGCACTAAGGTCCCTCTGTATAAGTCTTTTCTGGAGATGTGCATATTAAATGGGTTCCAGCAGTCTTACCTAGACAGGTTAACATAGGATGTTCACATGATCAGCAGCAGGCAGAGAGCAGGGATCAAGAAAAATGAACCATACCAGCAGCAAGTTTTAACAGGGAAAATACAGCAGCCCCTACTGGAATAGATGAGTACTGAAAGCCAGAATGACAAAACAGAAACTAAACTTGCCTCCTTTACAGATTTATAGGTCAGAGGGTGGTGAAACCATTGACAAGATTTTAACTGAAGGATATGTTGTCCTGAATTACTAAAACTGTCTTTGTTAAGCTCTCACGATTCTTTCCATCTACCGGGATCAATGAGAAAGTGTAAGTGGTGACGGTTTTATTAAAAGAGCATGAATTTGCAACAAGAGTTAATACCAAGCTTAATAATTCCTGCAATCATAAATTCTATGGATACTGAAATACTCTGTATCAGAACGCCCAGGTCTATGGCAGAAGAATTAAATGAACGTATGCTTTGTACTCAAAAGGATTAAGTATAAAGATGTCCTGTTTGAAGACACTAGAAAATTCTACAGCTATCCTTCAAAAGTCCTGAAATAAAAAAACAGTCCACCTTAAACCTAAAAAGCTAATTTCATGTTGACTTTAGACATCGTAGTTTCTATTCTCCTTGTTAAAGAATGCTAGATAAGGCTCCAAGGAGTGATTAAAACATTAAGTAAAATGATGCATTGCCAAACTATCTCCAACACAGACTTTCAAAATCTGAGGGGAAAGGATCAGAAATCCAATTTTTCACATGAAAGTTGAAGGATTGTTTCTTTTTTAAGACTTTTCCACTTCCTTCCCAAATGTGGCAATTCGTAAATATTCGTATGTAGGGGAGCCTGTTCTAAGAGGGGAGAAAAGGCCCCAATTTTTAAGACTTGAAAATGTACTTTATTTCTGTAGACACAGATTCACGCAATCAGCTAGCAATGATCTTGACCAAATGATGACTTAGCCTTGTGGGGATTTTTTTTTCGTTAAATGAAATTTCACATTCAAAATGCTACAAAGATGGACGCTCCAAGCATTCAACTAGAACGAAGGCCTTGAAATACTCATTTGAAAGGATTTAATGATTTATATTAAACATATTTAACCCAAAGTACTTAGATGATCTTTAAGGCCCCTTTCTGTTCAAATCTTAATTGCTTTAGTAACTTTCTTAGACTCTTCTTAGAGCCTTCATGAGTACAAATCGAACCTGAATGAGAAGATTCAGAATTAAAGTGGTCATCGTTAAGCCTGATTCAACAGGACAGACAGAAAGATGACAGCAGAATAAAGCATCCTGAACTAGGGACAGGGAGAAGACCATTAAGTAGTTCGCAGGCCCGCCCGTGAATGAATCCCAACATACAACTAAGTCAGGGTGAGGGTTGGGAGATTTAGTGAACCATGTCTGTCTTTTGGGTGACAAACGACCCACCCCAACAGGGGTAGACTCGGGCTTCTAATAATATGACAAACCATCTACCTGAAGTCATCCACCACGGCAGGAAGACACAGGTCAACTAGAGAATGAATTTTCTCTAACTTAAGAGTAAATTATCCCTTACTGGCAGTTTTCCTACTTTCTATCCCCAAATAGAATCCATATACTCAACGTCGCAGAAAGGTTAGCCATCTCACCCTTCCATTGTGACTCTGGCACTTGTGTTCCACACAAAAGCCATCCTCTACATTGGGGTGGGGTTTATTCTCTCCCTCCCGTCAGGGGAGGGCCGTGGCAGCCCGTAAGGCATCCTGCAGGCCCCCCTCTGACTCCCCCCTCGGAAGTCACAGCGATGTCGCGCTGACGGGCCCTCGGTGTTAAGGACCCTTCATCGGGAAATCTGCGATCCGGAGCCTGAAAAGGGAGCCTGAGCACCCTGCGCGGTGCCCGGCCGCCGGCGGGAGGGTAACCACGCGGGCAGGCACCTCCGGGGCACCGAGCGGGGCCAGTGATCAGCACGCCTCCTCCGAGTTTCCCTTCCTTCCACGCAATTAACCGGCAGCTCCCCGCCCCCACCCGTCCGATCGGGAAAAGTCACGCCGGCCACTCGCTGAAGGGCAGGGGGACAGCTCCCGGTGCGCGCACAAGTTGGGCTCCGCAGGGGCCGCGGCGGACACCGCCTTCTCCGGGGCGCACCCGAGCTGCCAACTTTCCCGCGGCCCCCTCCTCCGCGAACAGCAGCCCAAACTTTGCCTCTCGCCCACCTGGCCGCGCAGCGGAGAATCGAGGCGGGCCGCCCGCTCACTCCCCGCGCCTCGGGCTGGGGCAGGCGGCGGCGGCGACCTTCACGCCAGCCCCCAACCCCGCGCCGGCCGCTGCCCGATCCCCGCCCCCCAGCCTCCAGCCGCCTCCCCCAGACCCATCTCCCCGCCCCCAAACCCTCGCAGAAAACCCGCGGCCGGGCGACCGCACGCCGACCCCTCGGGCTCCGACGGCCCCCGATCCTCCGGGTCCCCGAGAGCTCGGGCCCCCGCCCCTCTTCCGCCCACTCACCACCGGTGAAGGGCTCCATCTTCCCCCCTGGCCCGGCTCCTCGCAGCCCGAGCGCCCCAGCTTCCTACTCCGAGAGCTGAGGCGGCCCTGCCGACTGAGCATGCCCAGCGCGGCCCGGGGCCAGTGCGGAGAGGCGGCGAGGGGCGGCGCCCGTCCGTTCGGGGCTCCGCCGCTCCGGGTTTTTGCGAGAGCTGGCGAGCAGGCGGGGGAGGGGCGAGGTGGGGGTGGGGCGGGAGGGAAAGGCTCGGGCAGCCCGCAGCCAAATCCGGGGGGCGGGGGGGTGCGGAGGGCTAGGGCCCGGGCGGTTGCAGGGGCCGGGGTGCAGCCACGCCCGCCAGGAGGCAGCCCCCCCCCCCCCCCGGGCTGAAACTGCAGTCAATCGCTCAGCAAACGTGCAGGCCTCCTGCGTCCGCGCTGCGCGGTCCTGGGCGCCGGGAACCCGGCCCTGCGGCGGGAAAACGCGGGCATCGCTCGTGAGGCGGACATTCCCGCAGCAGACTCCAAACAAACGCGGGAGACCCCGAGACCGGAATTACTGCCCCGCTGAGCATAAGATGGGGGGTGGGGGGGAGAGTGAGGGGTCGCTAGCTGATTCGATGGTGGTGGGGAGGCCTCGCTCGAGGCGCCCAGGTCTGAAAGGCATAGCGGCCCCAGGAGGGGAGGGCTCCGAGGAGCAGGCGCTCGGGCCGTCCCAGCCCGGCTGCCCGTCCCCCGCGGAGAAGTCCCCAGAGGCTGGACCCGGAGACGGGGCGGGTGGGGGGGGGGCGGGGACCCCTGGGATCCAGCCCTCCGGCTGAGGTTCGGGAGCGGCCCCTACAGGCCGGCGAGTCACAAAACCCGGCGCTGGAGGCTCCAGGCCTGCGGTCGCCGCAGGATGTGGGCAGGAGGCCTGTGGGAGCCGAGCCCCAGATCAACACCTGCGGCTCCGGGGGTGCCGTCGCCGGGCCGGGCGGAGCTAGACCGAGCAGCGGAAGCTCCCTTCGTCACCCCTGCCCCCGGCACTTGCGCTTTTGCCTCCAGCCCCTCGATACCATTGTTTCCGATGTCAAATCCGGGCAGACCTGGCAAGTCTTGGGGATGGAGCAAGTGGGGGCCCCGGGAGCCCCGGCGAGGCTCGTCGGGGCGGCTCCCTCATCCCTGGGTCGAGATGCGCATCGCCGCCACTCTCGCGGTGGAGGCCTCGGCCTTTCCAGACGCTGCCACCACCTCCTCTCCCTCCTCTTCCGCATCCCCAGCCCCTGCAGCAGCTTGGCTTCGGCGGAGCCTCACGGCGCCTGCCAACTGTCACCGGCTGCGCCCAGGCTGTCAGCCGCGGGGCGCAGGACGGGGCTGCACACACGCCGGCGGGAGCGCAGCCAGCCTGGTACACGGGCGGCCGGCTGTTCCTGGCCCCGCACGGGAATTAGAAATTAGATGTCAAAGAAGTAAAAAAAAAAATCGAAGTGCAATATTGCCTATGACATGTCAGTTGTATCCACTCATGCGCTTTCCACTCCACTTTAAAACCTCCAATGGCTAACCATTGCGCTTAGAATAAAAGCGAAACTCTTTAGCTCTGGGACCTCATCTCTCCTACACGTGCTCGCTGCTCTGGCCACAAAGGATTGCTTGCAGTTCCTGGAAGTAGCCAACTTCCATCAGCATGTTCCTCGTGCAAGAACTGTTCTTGCCTGGTACTCTGCTGGTCATTTAGGTCTCACCTCAAATGTCACCTCTGCAGAGAGCTTTTCCCTGACCACACTCAATCGAAATTAAGCAGAAACATGGTCTACTGCCTAGTTTTCTTAGAGCACTCATTACTCCGTAAAACAGTGTTTTTGTTTGTTGCGTTATTATTATCAACCTCCCTCTCAAGAACTGAAGCAGCATGAAACAGATAGGGTCATTATCTGTATAAGGGTTGTATTCCCAGATAAGTGCAATAAATAATTTTCGAATTGATATGGGAGTGGATGCAACGGTATTTAGAGTTCTAGTTCACTTGCAATGTGGAACGCCCTCCCAGAGAACATGTCTATATTGAACGATGTGTTTGTGATCAGGACAGGGAAGGTGTCTTCATCAAATGACACCTCAAAGCTGCTCTCTCCCCGCTGTTAAAGATCTTCTCAGACCTTAGGCTTCCCCCAACCCCCACCCAAAGGAACTTAACTGAAAATAGGAAATGAACCAGGTGGTGCATCAGTGTTCAGATATTACATAGTATATGCAGGGCTAGATTTTGTTAAAAGTACCCCACACATTGTAATTGCTTAGATAAGAGGCTTTCCCCTGTATTTAAAGTCATGTCATATCCCTTTGGAGTTATTTTTGCAACCACAGTACTTAGTATCAGAGATTTTAAAACTCCACCGCTTGTTAAATCCCCTCACCTTGCCTATAAGTGAGAGTCTATCGTGCTTTTAAGTGTGGAACACCTTATCCTGAGTTTTGTCAAATATTTCATTCTGCAGAGACTTGCAATAAAAATGCTTCACCGTGGCACTAGTAAATATAGGTAGATAATCGTGTCTTTCAGTGATTTCTTTGGCAAAGAGACAATAATTTCTTTATCCTCTCTTTGCCAAGAGGGAGAAGGAGGGAAGGAGGGAAGGAGGGAAGGAGAAAGAGGGGGAGGGAGGAGAGAGAGAGAGAGAGAGAGAGAGAGAGAGAGAGAGAGAGAGAGAGAGAGAGAGATAAGGAGCATTTAAAGACCTGTGGTTTGGGTTTGGGATTGGAGATAAAAGTATACAAACTTAAAATGTTTCAGGATTCTGCCTCCCCTCAAATAATAATGAATTTTGTTTTGTTTTATTATGGTTTTTGCTTTTCTTTTTTAGATAACATTTTACATTTGATTTCATAAAGCCAATTTCACTACTGAAACCCATCATGGTTCAATCCTCCCATACAGAACTTCCTCTTTAGTTTAAGGGCATACTACTTTAAATTATTAAGAAGTTACTATTGATTATCAGAGGCAATAGAGAGACATTATCTACTATACCCATTTACTATTTCAGAATCCTTGCTTTTTACCATTTAACATTTAAAAACCAAAAAAAATTGGAAGGCTAAGTATAACATAATAAATAGCATAAAAAGAGAAATATGAGCTCCCTGAATAACAAACAGCATTTATTTTTTAAAAAAGCAACAAACTTGCTAATCAATAAATATAGGAACTTTTTTCCCCATCAAAATAAAGCAATTGGTATGCCATGAATGAGTTAATCCAAGCCTCAATTTGCCTGGTGAGGGAACTGAAGTCTAGATAGGTTGGAGGATTTACTCACAGTCCAGTGGCAGACATTGACTGGAACTCAGGGGGTCTGTGTTCTAAACCAGAGCTCTGAAGTTTGTTGTTGCTTCCCTATTTCCACAGGGACATTAGGATCAATGACAATAATCTGTGAGACAGATATGGAGTAAAGAGAAATACAACTAACTTCAGGCTAGTACTAGACAGCTATTCCATTAGTTAATTGATATTCCAACTTAATTTCTTGATATTCCCTGCCAACTTCAGGTTTAGCATTATTAAATAATCTTTCTAATTATTTTGAAATAAGCAATAAACAATACATTCATTCAGTGTACACATTTGAAAATATTTGTTCAGGACTCTTAAAGAAATGGGGGATGCTGTTTGCTGCCAGGACACGACGAGCACTAAGAGGTTTCCAGCTATGCCAGACTCTACTCAGCCATCCCAAGAACCAAAGGAGTCAGCATCTCATTACCCTGTAACCCATTTGCAGCATACAGGCTCAGCATCTATTAGTGATTTTTGAAGTGATACCAAATTAAGCAATGTTTAGAGCTCTAAAAAAACAACAGACAGAATAATTATCCAACAGAGTTCTTGTATAGCTTAGACATTAGCAAAAAGATTCAGCCAAATAAAGTGAAAGGTCATCAGGAAAGAATAGTTCTATAGGAGTTCAGATGCTTTGGAACACAAAAGCAAAATGCTGATAAACTGGTTCAAACAATAAGGAAATTTATCAGCTCACGTGACAAGTCCAGAGATAAGGCAGACTCCAGTCACAGCTCCCCAGCCTCATCAAGATCTCAGCTTCTCGCTCTGTCTCTTCTGTGAGCAATTTTCTGAAAGACTGAGTGCCCTGCGGCCAAAAAAGCTGCATCGAGGGAGGAAGGAGGAACCTTTTCTCTGGTGTCTCTTTCTTAAGAGTGAGGAAACTTTTCTCAGAAACGCCCCATTAGAATTCTCTTTAGGTTTTATTTGCCAAAACTGTATTTTATACACTTCTAAGCAAATCATTGGAAATGAAAACAGGGCTACCATGATCTGCTTCTTAGACAAAGCAGTTTAGGAGTGCTGAGTTTAGAATCAGTTTTCTTATATTATACTAGAGGTCCGATGCATGAAAATTCGTGCAAGAGTAGGCCTTCCTTACCCCGGCTGCCAGCACCGGCTTCCCTCCAGGACCCGGGACCTGGGATGCTTCCCTCCTCCATCTGCCAGCAGGCACTCAGAACCCAGGCCAGCTTCCCCAGCCCCCGACCCCTGGCAGCCCGCAGGCACCTGGGACCCCGGCCTTAACAACTTTGAGATTTTAAAGCCAATTATTATTATCCAAGGCATTTTCTTTGGCCAATTCTATAACAGAGATAACTTACTGACTTTCAGTCACTTTATTATTTTATTTTATTTTCCTTTATAAAAACAGGAGTGCCCAGGACCTGTGAGGCAACCTTGGAATGCGGACCATTATTCTTCAAGAGCTACCCATTATTATGGAAACAGTAATCTTTTTTGCCTAAGTCCAGCCTGTATATTTTCCTTGTGTCATTTTTGCCATCCTTTAAAGAAAAACTGTCTTGGGTTTATTCTATAGCAGCGGTTCTCAACCTGTGGGTCACGACCCCTTTAGCGGTCGAATAACCCTTTCACAGGGGTTGCCTAAGACCATCGGAAAACACATATATATATTACATATTGTTTTTGTGATGAATCACTATGCTTTATGTTCAACTTGTAACAATGAAATTGGGGGTCACCACAACATGAGGAACCAAGGGTCGTGGCATTAGGAAGGTTGAGAAACACTGTTCTATAGCATCCGTGAAGAGATATGGGGCTCAGTTCAAGAGCCACCCAAAATCGGGTGGGGTGCGCCATTTCTCTTAATCTAGCCTTTATCTT